TTTTATTATATGCACAAAATCTTCATTTACATCTAGATTGTTATATTAATAGTCTAAAAGACGAAATCAAACAAATGGAACCAATAATGCAAAGCATGTGGCCCAGAATAGACAATAAAGAAGATATGAATATCACTGAAGATGTTACTCCATAGTATTAAAGTAATTGTTTATTGTTAAATACAATCAATTGAGAAGGATGTATATTGAATATTTTTGATATTCTTCAATTGAAATTTCCATCAGTCTTTGATTATCATGAATCTGACATATTTAGTTTGCTTGTGATTTTAAAGAAATTCTACTGTTATTGTTTATTTGTTTTGTATAGTAGTATAATATGCAACTTATATTTATCATATATTTTTTTGTATTTATATAATGATTTCAATAAAGAATTGATGAATATGTAAATATATCAGCGGCGATTATTTTTGTTTTATTTTCTTTATTCAGATCTCGCATAGAATCGAAAAATGGTTTTTTGTTCTAGATGAATGAATTTCTACAAAAGATATGCTATTTATTTCTACTCTAATATGATGCAAATCTATTGCATTAGACGAATTTTGACGAGAAGATCCATAAAAAAAGATTATTATAGAAATTATTTTTTGTTCGATATAATGAAAAAGAGATTCAAATTACAACTAATATGTTCGAATCATTCAAGTAAGAGTTTAGGACGAAATATGATTTAGTATTTCGATTTATGAGTGTATTCATGTACTAATATAATTTGTAAATGTCTTGAACTTATTCTTAAGTTAAAAGGTGATCAGTAACAAAATTAACTAGTTGTAGGTAAGTTGTGATGCTTTTATTAATCCATTTTTACGAAGTATATTTTTTATTTAGAAATATAAGTCGGTGCATTATTGGATGGCGACTGAAAATATTTAACCCTTATTTGATCTTTAGCAGCGACGATTTAAATTATTTCACATTCCAGTGTCAACGGTTGAAAGTTTTCGATGATTTTTAAAAATTTTCTTAGTTCTGTGAACTTTTTGACATAAAAAAAAGGAACAAATGATAGTAGAAAACATGATTATAAGTATCTAGACAAGAACATCGTCGAAAATTGATCCTGGATGCCAAAAATTCTCAAATATCTGCAATGCACTTTTATGTTCTGGCAGCAGTTCAGCCAATTGACTTATATCTTTATTTGATATCAACTCACCCATGAGTTCTTCCAATCATATATATAGAATCTCGAATAACTATAAAAAATTTTCTTCGGTTCTTTTGGCTTGCGCAATGTTTTTTTTCGAATCATCCTAATACTTAAGAATATATTTGTTGAATAACTTTTGTTTTCTTTTGTCTAATTTATATGTGAAGTATGAATATTATTGTTTATTTTTTCATAGTTTTCTAGTGCTTAGTTAATTAGATTATTTTTGTAGGTCACTGAATTTTGAGAAAGAATTGTAAAGAACTGACAAATGCATTTACCAAAAGACTTCGTTCCGACTATAGCTTTAACTACTTATACCGTTACTCGAAATTTTTAAAGCATGATAACTAACACTTAAAGAAGAAAATAATTAAAATAGTGTAGTTTGTAACAAAAAGTTTTTCATCTTTAAAACAATTTGGTAACGGATAAAGTTAAAATTTCTTCTGTAGATTTATATTTTTCAACATATGTAAATGTATAAGTATACAATCATTCTTTTTCATCGATAGATATTTTACAATATGTATGAGAAGAATAAATTCAAAACATGATAAACTAATTATACTTGTACAGATTGTGTTGAATTGAAATAATTTTAGTTTCCTTTTAGATTAAATATATTATCAGATGAACTACTCACTAAGTTGTGATTTTTTTTCATCTAAAATTAATTAGCCTTTTATTACTTATTTCAGAGAAAGTATTAGAAATTAATTCTACTAAACAGATATACTACATTCCAAATGGCAAACAAAGACCTTGATCGATGTTTAGTTTGTGATGATATTGCAATTGGCGTAAATTTTGGTGTACCAACATGTATGCCATGTAAAGCTTTTTTTCGACGAAATGCAGTTAAACTTGGTGTAAGTTAACTTTCGATATAAAAATTATTTTTGAACTATGAAGTTTTTTATTTTTTTAAAGACTCATGAATTTATATGTCAAAATGATGGTGATTGTATAATAACATATAAATATCGTCGTTCATGTAATTGTTGTCGTTTAGCAAAATGTTTTCGTGTTGGAATGAAAAAATCCTTAATTCTTTCTGATGAAAAACGTGAAGCTCGAAATGAACTTATAGCAATAAATCGTCTTAAACGTGGCCAAATATCTAAACTAGAATGTCTTACATGGGTTTGTATTAAATAATTATTCGAAATTAATTATTTTGAATTCACTAGAAAGGAACATTCGAATAAGAGATTTTTTTTGTAAGTTATATAATATTATTAGATATTAGTTTTCGTTGAAATTATATCATTTCGACCAATGTGAATCATGAGACATACATATGTTGATAGGGAAAAAAGTATAAGATTTTTTGTGACAAGGTGAATTTTGAAATTCATACAAAAATGTAGGACATTAATTTCGAATATGTGTCTTCTTACTTGGGAACATAAAATCAAAACTAAAAATCTATTACAGTTAGTTTCGATAAATTTTTTTAATGTAGATTATTTAAATAGAAAAGAATCCAAAGTTTGAAATTTTTAAAAATTTATTCATAATAATTTTAAGAAAACTTACATATTCAGTTTTATTTTTAAATGAATGCAATTTATAGAGTTAGCTAAACTTATCGTTTCACTATTTCTTCTTTTAAAATGAATCGTAATTTAGGAAATTTACTAGACATCATTGTTACTACGGATGTCATAAACTTTTTTCTGGAGCTTGAATACATCATCATATTGCCATTGTAATATGTAATTAAACATCGAATGGACAGAAACTAATCAGGGTACAACGATATTTATATACGAAAATAAAAAATATAGAAACCAGTATTCAAATAAAGATTGCTGAGAAATATGAGTGTGGATGAGCGTGTTCTGTAGAAAAGTCAATTCAGCTAGGCAATGTCTAACCGATAATATTTAGAATCTGTCAAATTTCAAAGTTGAATTCAATTCTACCGTCAAATGTGCACATATCTCTCTTGACGTGGATGTCACACTAACATACACATCAGGCATCTCTTTCAATGAGATACTTCAAAAAGTCATTTGATGGATTTGAGTCTGAAGTTAGCATTGAAGTAAAGTTACTGAAGTTCGAATAAGAACATAACGAGATTTAAATGTTCAGATTTGACACTACTACTATTTTGCACGACTTATCGATACAATAAGTAGCATTTTACTGTTGCTGCTTACTTACTTTTCTGTAGACATGGTATGCATCACTTATGCTTTTCCACAATATAAAAGAGATACACAAGCATATTTTCATTGTACATTTTCACTACTATTTTTGATAATCAAAATAAAGCTTTCTATTAAACTACAAGATAGATTAGTTCGAAATAAATATTTTTTGTTATTAAAAGATGCAATCACCATCATTACTTCGTATGTCGTCAAGTTCCATCCAATATTTTTCTTCATCTGATCAAGTTCTTCTTGCTAATATCTTCCATGCATATGAAAATACTTGTATAGTAGCAAAAAACACTACTTTACAAAATTTACCTACTGTTCAACATACATCTTTACATGAGTTTGTCAATGAAATGTCATCTGAATTTCATGTCTCTATCGAATATTTAAAACTTATACCTGAATTTAATAATCTTATCATGGATGATAAAGTTCGACTCATAAAAAATCATATCGGCACAATAGTTCATATAAATCAACCTTTAATGCTACCAGGACCGCCTATTAATCTTGTTGTTTCATGG